CACACACACACACACACACACACACACACACACACACACACACACACACACACACACACACACACACACACACATCTCACACACATCTCACACACCGCACCCAGTGACGGGCGGCGTCTCTACGCGCGGACCGCACAAGAGTACTCTGATGCATCATCAACACTGGCGTATTTTTCTCGGGCGCGTCCTCTGTGGGAGTCGGAGCTTGGTCGTCGCGGGGTTTCCATTTCTGCTTCTTCTTCTTCTTTCGAGTCCTGCAAGGGACTGCCAAAGTATCAGGTACGTCTTGGTCTCATGGCGCTGCCACTCCCCTCCCATGAGACCTCACTCGCCCCTGCCTATTTTGCGATCGGCAGACAGGACTCAAGATGGCGGTGACCCGATGGGGGCTTCTGCTTGGCCTGGCCTTCTTGGCCTCGCCGGCCCTTGCAGGTTGGTGATGACCACCCCGCTGCCCTTGTCCCCGCCCTTGTCCCCGCCCTTGGAGCAAATCTGACGCTCACACCTCAATTCCTTCTCCGTACCCCACCCAATGTGTTGCCCCCTCCTTCCTGTTCCTCCCTGCTTGTGGTAGTGGATTGCACGGGCAACTTTGAAGAAAGCAATGGTCAGGGCGGCTGCCAGTGCATGTCGGGCTTTGCTTATCGTGCCGGCGTCTGCACCATCACCAACGAAATTGTCACGGAAGCCAACGTAAGTGACCTCGGCCGCTCTTCCCTTCCGCCCGTGTCATCTCTCCACGCTGCAGTGCGATCACGGCCAAAAAAAGACAAGCCCTTGATGCTCATCATCCTCGTGAATCGGGCCCATGTAGAAAATCGTGCTCAAGGCTGCAGACGTAGTGCTGCGCGCCCCAAACAGCGGCAGGACCTCAGTCATGGACACCAGCATCGCCGAGTCCCTCAGGACCCTCGGCGACGCGAGCTCCAACAGCGCCACGCGCCTCGACACGATTGAATCATCCTACGTGACCCTCGATACAGTCCGCGCGCTGGAGCAGAGCTTGCATGACCTGTCCAACCTCAGCGAATCCTTTGTCGATGAAGTGCTTCTTGAGAGCCTCGTTCCGCGCATCGCCACCAACGAGATGGAAGACGTCGTCTGCCAAAACAGCTCCGACCTCCGCGTCATTCGCTACCACCTCTTTGGTCGCCACCTCGAGTACTGCGACCAGTGGCGCGACACCTTTTACTGGCATCAGATGGGCCTTCCCGTTCGCTGCCGATATGGCAACGCTTCGTCTGGCGTGTGCCATGCTTGCATTGAAGGGTACGTCACGGCTCGTGGTGGCAAGTCGTGCGTCCTGCAAGGCGATCTGCTCCACCTGGCCTTTGATGACAACCTCTTTGACCAATCTGAGCTGGGCCGCGACGCTCGCTTCTTCGGCGTCAGCAACGACTACACCTTTGGCAACAACGCCTACGCCTCTGCCGATTCCACTCCCTACCTTCGTCTTAACGGCAACGGTGAACACATTCGCGTCGAGCCCCTCACTTTTGGTGGTGACATGTCGATCTGCGTCGACGTGTACTACGAGGAGACACGGTGGTGGTCCCGCATCCTGGACTTTAGCGCCAGCGCCGAGGGGTCGCGCGAGTCGGCCAACTTCAACATTATCCTCTCCAACGTCGAAACCTCCAGCCGTTTCAATTTTGAGATCTACGATGGCCCGGATTCAGTGGTCCAGATTCAAGTCGCCGATCTGCTCAATGTCGCCTACCACCAGTGGGCCCAGTTGTGTGTAACCGCCAACGGTGGTACCTACACGGCCTACGCCAACGGCAACGTCACCTCGATCCAATCTGGTCCCCCCGTCCCATGGGTGCGCCGTTTTGCCAACTACGTGGGTCGGTCCAACTGGCCTGGAGATGCCGACTTTCACGGGTACATGGACAACCTGCGTATCTTCTCCCGCGCGCTGAGCACGACCGACATTGCCGAGATGTACGCAGACACACGGTTCCCCGCTCCCAAGGATGACTATCTCTTTGCTCGGTACGAGTTTGAGGGCAACGCCCTGGATAGCAGTGGCAACGGCAACGACGCCACGCCCTTCAACCATCTTCCCTTCAATGCCTACCAGCGCCGCGCCCCTCAAGGCCGGTACGCTATGCAGTTTGACGGCGAGGATGACTACATTGTCATGCCGGCGCTCAGCTTTGACAACGCCTTTGGTTTTTGCTTTCACATTCGCTGGTACGACCTCGACTTTTGGAGTCGAGTTCTCGACATCCACAACGCCGCCGGCGATGGCATCCTCCTGGCCCACATTGCCAACAGCGAAACCCTTCAACTGGCCGTGCAGTTTCCCGACGACACTCCTCAATCAACTTTGGAGGTGGTGGACGGCTGGGCGCTTGCCCGTGGGGCCTATCAGCATTACTGCTTTAGCATGACCAACAACACCATGGCCGTGTATCGTCAGGGCCGCCTCTTGCTTAGTCAGAGCGACAAGAACCCCATTGGCTCGCGCTCCTACGCCAACGCCTTTATCGGCAAATCGGCGTACGACGCCGACGCCACGCTGGGCGCTGAGGTTGATGATCTCCACATCTTCAAGCGCGGGGTGGCCATTGAGGACGTGCAGCGCATTCTGTGCGACGGCAAAGCCACTCTGGATTGCGTTGGTCTGCTGGGTCACTGGAAGTTTGATGGCAACGTGCTGGACAGCAGCAACAACCAGTGGCACGGCGAGTTGGTGCCCGTCAACCAGCAGGTTGGTGCTCAACGCTTGGTTTTTTGGCCGAACCAGTGTTGCAGCGCTTTGTTCGGTGGTGGTGCGCGCTTTCACTTTTGCTCTCCTCACTGACCCACCCTTTTTTTTTCTCTTCTTTGGCAGGTTGGCTCGCATTTCATCTCGGACGATGCCAAGCAGGGCACAGCCGCACTCAGCTTTACCGGCAACAACAGCTACGTGCAGTTGCCTGCTCGTCGCCTGGGCGGTGCGAATGACGTGACGTTTTGCGTCTGGGCCAAGTTTGGCAACGCTGACGAATGGGAGTAAGTCCCCTTTGGCACCTGTGGTTAAGCTGTCCTTTTTTGCTTTTGTTCTTCTTTTTGGTGCACCACACCCTGTGTACGTACCTTGCTTGTCTCACGTGACGTGACGTATATCTGGCATTAGACGCGTGTTTGACTTTGGCGATGGCGACAACACCAACCGCGTTTACTTGGCGCGCTCGAGCACCAACGAGGAAATCATTTTTGATGTCCGCCAGGGCAACGGCAACAACGACGTTCGTGGTCCCCTCCCGTCCTCATCCGACTATGTGCACATTTGTGCCAGCATTGACAGCGATGGTGGACATCTCTATGTCAACGGCGGGGTAAGTACTGCGGCGCTGCTTGTGGCTATTTTTGATTATTATTTTTTTTTTTTGCTCTCCTACCCTCTTTCAGACACAAATGTGCTCACCCGAACCAATGACTGTATAGCTGATCCAAGACAACAACGCTGTTCCTCGCCTGAACCTCGGCGATTTTACCCACAACTTTGTGGGCAAGTCTCTCTTTGATTGGGATGCATCGACAGAAGGCGTCATGGACGACCTCCGCATGTACGGCTATGCGCTCTCCGCCTCCGAGATCAAGAACCTTTACAACATGTACAAGTAATAAGTGAAATGCCAGCGTGGTCCACAATGGACCACTGCCTTGCTGGGCCAAGACATTTGCGTCCTGCTTGGGCTTGTGTTGTCGTGTGTATTCTATTTCTTCGTGGAATGACTTGCGCACTGTCGTAAGCACCACCATGTGTAATGGCCCTCAACGTACTTGTCAACGTGTATCATTTGTGTGATCCGACCACTACTCGGATTTTCACACCACCCCGTGTAATTACACCAACCTGAGTTTTGACACCACTTTGCGTCGATTGATCCACTGATAACTCAAACACAAGAACAAGCCAAAAAAAAAGGGGGGGGGGACACAAAACAAGAAACGAGAAACAAGAAACCAAGCATAAACTGTCAAACGAGGCGTGTTAACATCTGTCCAGGACGGGTACACACACACACACACACACACACACACACACACACACACACACACACACACACACACACACACACACACACACACACACACACGGGCAGTGATCCGCTTCATTGCACCAGCCGGTCCACTAGGTCTGATTCAAAGACGCGAGGCTCGTGCAGCCAGCCGCGTGCCATCAACACAGTCAGGCGACGGCGCAGCACGCCCTCTCGCGCGGCACGGAGAGCAGCGTTCACTGACACATGTCGGGTACAAAGAGCAAGTGAAGACCAGACCGAAAGAACTGTTTGTTCAACCCACAGC